GTGGCACAAATGTCACCAAAGTGGCATCAAATGTGTCACAAATGTGTCCCCAAAGTGTCCCCAAATGTGTCCCAAATGTGGCACCGGAGTGGCACCAAAGTGTCACCAAAGTGGCATCAGAGTGGCACCAAAGTGGCACTAAAGTGGCACCAAATGTGTCACAAATGTGTCCCAAATGTGTCACCCAAAGTGTCCCCAAAGTGGCACAAATGTCACCAAAGTGGCACCAAATGTGTCACAAATGTGTCCCCAAGTGACTGAAATGTGTCCCCAAAGTGTCCCAAATGTGGCACCAAAGTGGCACCGGAGTGGCACAAATGTGTCCCCAAAGTGGCATCAGAGTGGCACCAAAGTGTCCCCAAAGTGTCCCAAATGTGGCACCGGAGTGGCACCAAAGTGGCACCAAATGTGTCCCCAAATGTGTCCGAAATGTGTCCCCAAAGTGGCACAAATGTCACCAGAGTGGCATCAAATGTGTCACCCAAAGTGTCACCAAAGTGTCACCAGAGTGGCACCAAAGTGGCACCAAATGTCACCAGAGTGGCACCAAATGTCACCGGAGTGTCACAAATGTCCCAAATGTGTCACCGGAGTGGCACAAAATGTCACCAAAGTGGCACCAAATGTGTCCCAAATGTGTCCCTAAGTGACTGAAATGTGTCCCCAAAGTGTCCCAAATGTGGCACCAGAGTGGCACCAAAGTGTCACCAAATGTCACCAGAGTGGCATCAAATGTGTTCCCAAATGTGTCCCCAAATGTGTCCCTAAGTGACTGAAATGTGTCACGAAAGTGTCCCCAAAGTGTCCCAAATGTGGCACCGGAGTGGCACCAAATGTCACCAAAGTGGCACCAAAGTGTCCCCAAATGTGTCCCAAATGTGTCCCAAATGTGTCCCCAAATGTGGCACCGGAGTGGCACCAAAGTGGCACCAGAGTGGCACCAGAGTGTCACCAAATGTCACCAGAGTGGCACCAAATGTGTCACAAAAGTGGCACCAAAGTGTCCCCAAATGTCCCAGAATGTGTCCCCAAATGTGTCACCGGAGTGGCACCAAAGTGTCCGAAATGTGTCCCTGGATGTCACCAGAAGTGTCCCCAATGTGTCCCCAAAATGTCCCCATTGTCCCCGTTAATGTCCCCAATGTCCCAGGTGTGTCCCCATTGATGTCCCCAATGTCCCCAGGTGTCCCCAAGTGTCCCAAATGTGTCCCTAAGTGTCCAAACTGTGTCCCCAATGTCCCCAGCCATGTCCTAGGTGTGTCACACAGTGTCCCCAATGTCCCCAAGGTGTCACTGACCGTACACCACCAGCACGTGGGTGTCACTGGCTCTCCCGTGGGTGTGTCCCCAATGTCCCCGAGGTGTCCCCAATGTGTCCCCAATGTCCCCAGGTGTGTCCCCATTGATGTCCCCAATGTCCCCAATGTCCCCAGGGTGTCACACAATGTCACACGATGTCCCCAATGTCACTGACCGTACACCACCAGCACGTAGGTGTCTGTGGCTCTCCCGTGGGCGTTTCCCGTGTGTCCCCAATGTCCCTGGCTGTGTCCCAGGTGTGTCCCCATGAATGTCCCCATTGTCCCCAATGTCCCCAGGGTGTCCCCAATGTCCCCAAGGTGTCCCCAATGTCACTGACCGTACACCACCAGCACGTAGGTGTCCGTGGCTCTCCCGTGGGCGTTTCCTGTGTGTCCCCAATGTCCCCAGGTGTGTCCCAGGTGTGTCACACACTGTCCCCAAGCTGTCACACAGTGTCCCCAATGTCCCCAAGGTGTCCCCAATGTCCCCAAGGTGTCCCCAATGTCACTGACCGTACACCACCAGCACGTAGGTGTCACTGGCCTGTCCATGGGCATTTCCTGTGTGTCCCCAATGTGTCCCCAATGTCCCCATTGATGTCCCCAATGTCCCCAGGGTGTCACAGAGTGTCACAGAGTGTCCCCAATGTCACTGACCGTACACCACCAGCACGTAGGTGTCACTGGCCCGTCCGTGGGCGTTCCCGGCGTGGCAGCTGTAGGAGCCGTTGTCCTGCGGGGCCAGCGCGGGAATGGTCAGTTGGTCACCCTCGGCCCGGGCCCGGACGGGCAGGGAATCGTTCCCACGGGTCCAGAGAACCTCAGAGGGGCTGGGGACACAAAAATGTCACCAATGTCACCTCAGTGTCACCAATGTCACCTCAGTGTCATTGAAATGGCACACAGTGTCACCAGTGTCACCCTCAGCCCGGGCACGGACGGGCAGGGAATCGTTCCCACGGGTCCAGAGAACCTCAGAGGGGCTGGGGACAGTGAAAAGTGTCACCAATGTCACCAAAGTGTCACCTGAGTGTCACCAATGTCATTGAAATGTCACCCAGTGTCACCCAGTGTCACCCAGTGTCACCCTCGGCCCGGGCCCGGACGGGCAGGGAGTCATTGCCACGGGTCCAGAGCACCTCAGAGGGGCTGGGGACATCGAAAAATGTCACCAATGTCACCAAAGTGTCACCTGAGTGTCACCAATGTCATTGAAATGGCACCCAGTGTCACCTCAGTGTCACCCAGTGTCACCCAGTGTCACCCTCGGCCCGGGCACGGACGGGCAGGGAATCGTTCCCACGGGTCCAGAGCACCTCAGAGGGGCTGGGGACACAAAAATGTCACCTCAGTGTCATTGAAATGTCACCTCAGTGTCACCTCAGTGTCATTGAAATGGCACACAGTGTCACCAATGTCACCCAGTGTCACCCAATGTCACCCAGTGTCACCCAGTGTCACCCAGTGTCACCCTCGGCCCGGGCCCGGACGGGCAGGGAATCGTTCCCACGGGTCCAGAGCACCTCAGAGGGGCTGGGGACAGTGAAAAATGTCACCAATGTCACCAATGTCACCCAGTGTCACCCAGTGTCACCTCAGTGTCACCCAGTGTCACCTCAGTGTCACTGAGATATCACCCAGTGTCACCCAATGTCACCCAGTGTCACCCTCGGCCCGGGCACGGACGGGCAGGGAGTCATTGCCACGGGTCCAGAGCACCTCAGAGGGGCTGGGGACATTGAAAAGTGTCACCAATGTCACCTGAGTGTCACCTGAGTGTCATTGAAATGGCACACAGTGTCACCAATGTCACCCAGTGTCACCCAGTGTCACCCAGTGTCACCTCAGTGTCACCCAGTGTCACCTCAGTGTCACTGAGATATCACACAGTGTCACCCAATGTCACCTCAGTGTCACCTCAGTGCCATTGAAATGGCACACAGTGTCACCAATGTCACATCAATGTCACCCAGTGTCACCCAATGTCACCCAGTGTCACAGGGATGTCTCCAGGGTGTCACACAGTGTCACAATGATGTCCCCAATGTCCCCAAGGTCTCACCGAGGGTTCCCGCTCACGGCACACGTCAGCACCACGGTGTCCCCATGGTGTCCCCAATGTCACACAGTGTCACAGGGATGTCCCCAGGCTGTCCCCAGGCTGTCCCCAAGGTGTCCCCAATGTCCCCAAGGTGTCACAGTGATGTCCCCAAGGTGTCCCCAATCTCTCACCGAGGGTTCCCGCTCACGGCACACGTCAGCACCACGGTGTCCCCATGTCACACACTGTCACCAGGGTGTCACTGGGATGTCACAATGATGTCCCCAAGGTGTCCCCAATGTCCCCAGGCTGTCCCCAGGGTGTCACACAGTGTCACAATGATGTCACAGTGATGTCACAATGATGTCCCCAATGTCCCCAATCTCTCACCGAGGGTTCCCGCTGAGGGCACACGTCAGCACCACGGTGTCCCCACGGTGTCCCCATGTCACACAGTGCCACAGGGATGTCCCCAGGGTGTCACAGTGATGTCACAGTGATGTCCCCAATGTCCCCAGGATGTCACACAATGTCCCCAGGGTCTCACCGAGGGTTCCCGCTGAGGGCACACGTCAGCACCACGGTGTCCCCACGGTGTCCCCATGTCACACAGTGTCACAGGGATGTCCCCAGGGTGTCCCCATGGTGTCCCCAATGTCCCCAGGGTGTCACAGGGATGTCACACAGTGTCACACAGTGTCACAGGGATGTCCCCATGGTGTCCCCAGGGTGTCACAGTGATGTCCCCAATGTCCCCAGGCTGTCCCCAGGCTGTCCCCAATGTCCCCAGGGTGTCACAGTGATGTCACACAGTGTCACACAGTGTCCCCAGGGTGTCACACAGTGTCCCCAAGGTGTCCCCAAGGTGTCCCCAAGGTCTCACCGGGGGTTCCCACTCACGGCACACGTCAGCACCACGGTGTCCCCATGTCACACACTGTCCCCAGGCTGTCCCCAGGGTGTCACAGTGATGTCACAGTGATGTCCCCAATGTCCCCA